GCATATCATGTTTCCCATGTTCCCAACAAAAGTACCATGGGTTACCTAACTTAGCTACACCAAGGCTGTACTGTTTAGGTCTATGAAAAGACATTTCCTTCCTCTTTCTTCCAGATGTATCAGGACATAGATAAAGGTATCCCTGCTGGGTCACATTTATTTTCCCAGTCAATTGATGATTGAACACTTACTCACTCATAATAACTAAGTTTTTAATGTCCTTTCCTTTCAACTGTGTACACCTTAATGCAATTTCTTTTTCTTTTTTTTTTTTTTGTTAATACATGCATTAATTATTTGTTTAAATTCATGTTTTGTTCCTTACATTTATGGGAACTTGCATCATGACGCTGCCAAATATTGTTCCAGGAGGGATTAAATATTTACTGAAAAACGTCTACACCTTGCAACAAAAGAGGTGGTTCTTTCAACAGTATCACCAATTGTTTTTGCTGTAGCTCATTGATTGTACCTGTAATTCTAACCTTAGATCTGCTTAAAGTGTATTTATATTTTGGGTGGGCCTTTTTTTTCTTTTTTTTTTTTTTCCTTTAAGAGCTGTTTACTTTTTGAACAAAATCTTACCAGGTTTGATAAAGAAATATGTATTAAGTATTTCTGAAATATAGTTAGATTTTATTTTAATAAAACATTTTTTTTTAATCTAGATTCACTTATTTGCGAGCGTGTTATTTTTATTGAATTATTTGCTGCTAATATATTGCTTGGTATTATCTTTTATTTCTCTTCACTACAATCCATTACCATGTCATTACTTAGCACCTGAAATAAGGCAAGTTGGTAAATATACGCATTCTGTTTGCACAAATTCTAATGTTAAGTGATACTTGTACAGTGTTTATAATTTCTCTGTATTGATAATACTCTCCTCAATAGATGAGCAGTGTAATTGTTTTGAATCTCTTGTAAACAGGGGTTAAAAGGGATCTCATTACTGTTCTTATTTGTACCTTTATCATAGCCAGTATTCCAATTATTATGGGTATGACAGTAGTTTTAAGGTGCCATATTTTATTTTTCAATTTCAAGATCCTTATATTTATTTTATCATATACTTTAACATATTTTTTATCTAATGCCACTGATATATGTAATTTTATTTTATTTATTTATTTTTTTTTTTGTTTAAAACAAGTTTTACTTAATTTTGGTTAGTGCTTCCTTTTAATCTTAATTTAAAATTTTTTACATTTTACTCAGTTTGTCAATCTTGAAAACCCTGGTTCAGAAATAAGTCATAAGCTCTTGCTAGGATTGGGATTCTGGTCCCTTTTGCCTCGGTGAAGCTGAATGCATGCCAAGCTGCTTTATCAACTAAGCTAGGAGTATTCAATAGCTTAGCAGAATAAACCTAACCTTTAACCTTGGCACCATATTTCTTTGTTTTTATGCTTGTGTATAGTGAAGAAAATGGCGACTTACCTCATCAAACCAAGCGACAGTGCGTCGCGTGTATCCTACGATGGAAAATGTGGCGAAAAAGAAAATTACTTACCAAGAAAAAGGGGCACATATTCTGCATGACATGCTGAAGACAGAATATTTAAATTAAAAAATAAGTCCGTCACAGGAGTTGATATAAAAGTATTTTGATATGCAAAAATTAAACGTCCTCTCCCAGTTTCCGACGAATGGAAAAAATGCTCAACCAATAAAAGCAGTCAGTGTTCTTGAATCAAGAAGTTAAGTATTTTGGCTATCATGTTTGTTGGAGAGTAAGTTATTATTCTGACTGGTTGTGTGCATTGTGATTTGTGAGATAGTACCTGCAAATCGAGTTTTCAGCATTTCTTTCTGTCCCCGATGTTCGAGTCTGAACTTAGTGATTTATTCTCTGTGTTGTGGAAATAATCTGTGACAAATATTTCCTTTGCAATCCCAGATAGGATGTAGGGGTAGCGTAGTGGTTATCCACACTGAATACAGAATTGGTGCACAGAGTTCAAATTCCTACTTAGACTGGATTCACTTACACATTGATATTCTTGGGAAAGACAGTCTAAAAATCCATTGTGTATATGAAGCTTTTTATTTTTTGGGTTGGGGGGGGGTCTCTAGAATTTGATAGCCAAATGTTAGGGGTGTATATTATACACAAATAGTTATGGTGCTCTATTTGGAATGAGGTGTATAGGAACACTGTTAGAAAATTGAAAGAAACATTAACGTGGTTAAAATTCTGCTAATGTAGATTTTTTTTCTATCACCAGGTCAAGTATTAAAGAATGTCCCTTGTGTGTCAATATAGAATCACTTGGGCATGTGTGTTATGAAAAAGTGGACCGTCTAAATGTTCCCTCACTCACTTTTCTCTATCAATCATCCTGGCATGTCAGGGATAAGCCATTTTGTCAAAGTATTTGGAGAGGAGATAGTGCAGGGAAGGATTGGAGCCATGCCTTTTCCTAAAGAACATAAAAATAAAGTAAACAAAGTTTTGCAGAAATTAAAACTTGATTCACTGACTTCATTTTCTGTGTTAAAGAATTTTATGCCACCATATCTGATTGCTTGTGGTACAAGCCATTGCCTTTCAATAATAATTTTTTTTAACATTTAAAAGGAGTTTACAAGACATTTTGTTTCTTGTATTTTATCAAGGGAGGCATGGTGGAGTAATGGATGATGGCTTGAATTAAGGAATTGGAGAGATATGTTCAAATTCCAGTCAAGTTTTTGTAGTCATTTACATGCAAAAATACCATTGGAAAAGGTATGAATCTCTCTCCTCTTTACCCCCAGCTATGGGTAAATAGTAGGATAAACTGGGTCAGGTCGCTTTGGATAGCTACAGGTTTAGGAGAACTCTGAATTCAAAACCCGAGTGGTCAGTGACTAAACCAGCTCCTAGATCAAACCGTTGCCTGTTGAGATGGGTAAGTGGAACCCCAGCATCATAATAAACAAAAGCTGTTAAATGGTATATGAACTCTTCAGAGTCAACAACCATCCACCCGAACTATGGGTTAAATAGTCTCACCAACCTGCATTTAGGTATGCGTAGGGAGTACGTCTATATCCCTGAAGATGTGGTCAATCAGGGAGGGGTTCCTTCAAGAATGAGTAGGCCCTGGTTTGGATTTGGATTTTCTCAAAAAAAAAAAAATTTGGATTACTAAAAAAAAAAAAAAAAATCATCAACCTTACTTGGTAAAAAAAATAGTGATTGAAGGAAAAGGGGAAAAAATCATTTGAATGATGAGATTGTCATGATAAATTCTATAAGTCAAATATTTTGTTTTATTTCACAATTGTTTTGTGTTAATGTAAGCATTGTTTCATTTTGGAATTTTGCTCACACACCTATACACATTGCTCATGAACAAAGATGCATTCAAATGTATTTAAAATGTTTTAATCATAGGAATAATTGCCTATTATGAATTTTGATTTGATAATAATATGAAAGCTATTTGCATTGCAACCAGTTATTATATATCTGTGCATCCATAAACAGATTTGTTGTTTCAATATATGTTATGTATGTTATGTAACGGGAAATAAAAGTAATTTCAACAAATGAAACTGAGGAAATAGATTGTTGGTAAGCAAAATTTTGATAAGTTTTGCACAAGCATTAAAAGTGAGTGAATATTTAACAAAGGTTATCTCTGTCCTATAATAGTTATTACATTAAGTGTACAACTTGTATACAAATATAACTATTAGATTACAAGTAATATTGGGTAGTTTTCAGGTACTCATTGGCTTTGGGCAAATATTATAAATTTTATATTATTAATTAATTGATTAAAAACCTTATAAAATACTTATAAGAACACTTCTGCAAACATATAACCAATCTATTGCGAAAGATGCTGGATAAAAAGGTCGCTTCATTATACCACTCTAGTAAGTATCTGATTCTTCCTGCAATACTCTTTTTACAAGATCCAGATCAGACCAAAAATGGAGTATTGTTGCCATATCTTGGTTGGAGCTGCCTAGTCCTCACTTGTTTGATAGTTCGAAAGTATCTATGGAGACTTGTGGATGATGAATTCTTTTCCATCTTACAACTCTTTTTACACAGATGAAACATCGTGAACCTCTTGCTGCTGTTTCCATGGCATGAGTTCTGATGAGCTGCATTCCTTAGTCCCACAGGCCTTGACCTTTACAACTGGGACCTGCCATGTCACATACCCAAATGTGAATCATCACTGTTCCTTTCATTTTTCCAATAGCAAGAAGTTTCATTTGGTCAGCTTACCAAGAACTGATTCTTTGCGGAACACTCTCCTGGCAGAATGGAGGGTTCAGTGGGTGGAGAGCTCTGGCTTTTTTTTTTTTTTTTTTGAGATCTCTTCTATTTGCCTTTTGGTGTTTCCAAAGAATGTTCTGTTGTGGATTGCTCTTCTCCAGTTGCTTCATTCTCCAGCCTTTCTCCTCGGTGAGCTGTTTTTGAAGGTATTCTTTAAAAAAAAAAAAAAAAAGCATTAAGCTCAGATATCTCATTAAATGTTAAATTATAATAAACAGAAAAATAAGTAAATTTTTTCTTTTAAGAATTTTATCTTTTTATTACAAATTATAATAAATCATATAAAGTATGCTCTTTTTTCTTTTTATCATCATAATTTAAATGTCACAACTTAACATGCTTTAGATATACAAAAAAAAAAAGGTTGAAAAACATTGCTCTACAGGATGGCTAGTATCATAGAAGTCTTGCACACTTTTTCTTAATTCCTAATGTTATTTATTGATCTCATATTACCTTATTCAACTTTGGATAAAGTATCTTTTTCTATTACTATATAACTTAAGATATCTATCACACTTTCCATTGTCTGATGATGTAACATTACTCAGCTAACTGAATTTTTGCTTGTTTAACTTTGACATTCTTGATGTGTAACTCATGTCTTGAACAGTCCCTTTTACTCATCACCATTCATTTCATTGTTACAATTAATAGTCAATCCTTTCTTTTTACTTTATCTGATTATTTTATCTAATAGTTCTTTCAGCTTATGTTGAAACATTGGTTCTCATCTGATCACCAAAGTTAAGCAAGTTGAGCCTGGTCAGTACCTAGAGGGGTGACTGCTTGGGAATCCCAGCTGGTGAGCTGAAACATATTTTGGGATTGTAAGAAAAATTTTTCTTTTTTTCCTAGGAAATATTGTATTGACAATTTCTTGGTGGGTAATGATTTTCAGAGTTTTACTATTTTAACCCATAGATGGGGGAGGAGAAGATTTGGGTTCATACCTTTCCTAATGATATTTGTGCATAAGTGAATGTAATGGACCTAACTGGAATTAAAATTCTGTTTCCAACTTCTCTTTCTGAGCTCTTAGCGATTACTACGCGTATATACACACACACACACACACACACACACACACCCTTGTGTGTCACTCATCTAGGTACTGATCATTCTCAATGTTGCTTAACTTTAGTGATCATATGAGAACTGGTATTTTACTGTGATAGTGTTGCAAGCCATGGGGTAAACAGGACTGGCAATAAGTGGTCAGGACTAAGAAGGGGGAGAGAAAAAAAAAAAAACAGAACAAGATATCTCTAGACATGGACAACAGAATGAGAATGATCTACACTTCTAGATTAAGTAGAGGGCTCCATTTGAAATTGCCTGAAGGTTACCCAGATTAACAGACACCTGAAAAGCTAGTGGGCACAATGGCTGAAACATTGTGATGACAACAAGAAAGACAGTTTTTTATGGAACTGAAAAGGTATTGAGCTTAACTAATGTGCACCATAAAATCTGATACTAAAAATCTGGTTTGATTATAGATTTGCTTAAAAAAAAACAAAATAAAAAAAATATCTGGTATTAATTACAAGATTTTTTTTTTTTTTTTTGTAGGTGTATTTTTATATACATGGTGTCCATAAAGTTCGTGTGCACTTTAAAAAATTTATAACTTTATTTGTATTTGCGATAAAAATAATCTGTAAAAAAATGTTATAAAGTTTAATGTACCTAGTTTTAAGTATAGCTAAAATAACTAATGTGATTTCAGGCATTACTATAAATCAGTTCGCAAATATTTTCCATGAACTTCAAAATCATATTACCCTTTGTATTGCTAATGATGGAGGGCATGTAGAAACTTAAATAAAATTTCAATACAACCTTAAAAATATAGATTTACTTCTTTCTAATCCTTTTTACAAATTATTTCTATCGCAAATACAAATAGTTATAAATTTTTTTTAAAGTGCACACGAACTTTATGGACACCATATATATGCCTACTATCCCAAAAATGATTTAAAAAGCTTTTTGTATCTCTTTATTCACTCTTTGAACCCTGAGACTGAACCACTTGTCATGACACTGACTAGACATTCTGGATAAATTTCATTCTCTATAACATAACAAATCAGATCAGCAATGATGTGTCATAAACAGTTCATTCAAAGTTACTCATGTGAACAGACCTTTTCTACTTGCATGTCAGGCTGTGTAAATCTTTTCACTGATTAGATACAAGAGCATTGTACTGGTAAATTTGTACTCTAAGGTCAATAGGTTGATTTTGTTTGAGAGCTCAACAGTTTATGAAATAACTTTGCTTATTGTTAATACTCTTTATTATGCCATGTCTCTTCTGGTTGTGAACAATCATAGCTTTTTTTTTTTTTTTTTTGACACTCATTTTTGTTAATATCTATAAATATATCTGGGATAATAAGTATTGTGGCAGCTACTAGCATAGAAAGTAGAAGCAATGAACAGTTAAAATTTCAGCCTAGTCTGTTATAGTCACTTTCACACAAATGCTGTTGAGAAAGACACTAATAGATCTTTCCCCCAGTATGGATTAAATAGCAAAGTAGACTGGACCCTCAAGCAGCTAGTCTAGAAGGCAAGGTCTGAATTCAAAAGGCAGTGGGAAACTACTTCACTATCTTTTGCAAGAAGTTATGGTAATTCATACAGATTAAAGAAAATGATTGCTTAAGGAACATGAGATTGAGAAAAGATTAAAATAGTTCATAATCAGGTTTGTTCTTGAAGGAACTTTCTTTTGCATGTTTTTATAAAGAAAAATTATTTTAAGAAATTAGTTGCTTTCAAAATAAATATAACAGAATTTTTTAATTAAAAATGTTGTATTGGCCAAAAACAAAAAGAAGCAATTGTTGCAAACTGACATTCTGTTTACCAAAATATAATGATATTTATTTCAAACTGTTTTTATTGCAACTTCTAGACTGTTACTTTACAATCGGACATAAAGAATAAACATTTGGTAAAACTTGGTTTGTAAGGAGGCACGGTGGAGTAATGGATTGGAGAGCCGAGTTCGAAATCCAGTCAGATTCTTTACATTTGCTTACGTGCTAATACCCTTGGGAAAGGTATGAATCCATTTCTCCCCTCCCCCAGTTATGGATAAATAGCAGGACAGACCAGGTTCTATAGCCTTGGATGGCAACTGGTCTACTACTGAAAGAAATGGCAACCTACTGTGGGGAAAAAATCTGCCTCGTCAGTCATGTATTGAAAGATGCATGATCGCCTAATCGTGCATCACGCATGGCACATAACTGAAGACTTGGTTGCATTTCTGACAGAGCTGGCTTACTGATTAACAACAAACTGACTTGCATGTATTTTGGTGCAAGCCAACTTTTCTCTTAGCTAATTTTGGGATGCTAAGTCCAAAAATCAAGTCAATTTTTACTGGTTAGCTCCACATTTTGCAGTACAAAACTTGAATATTTAAAAAAAAAAAAAAAAAAAACTTTTGATAGCTAAATTTCCAAAAAGTTCAAATTAACTCTGAATAACCCTGTAGAAAAAAAAACATGTTACTGAATTCCTGATTGCTAAAACACCTTGTTTTTATATTATGATAATGTGCTTGATGATAATGACAGTGTAATTGTATTGTTTTAAGTTATGAATAGAAACATTATAAAAGTTCTTGAATATAATACATAATGATAATGACAGTATAGTGGTATTGTTCTAAGGATTAGTTGGTGAGAAAAATTTTATAGTTGAATGATGTGAACTTGTGAAATTGCCCTGTACAGATTCCAGAAGCAAGTGCATTTTCTCTCTGAACAAATTGTTAGAAGTTCTTATGGAAAAGGGTGAGCTCATTTTTAATTAGCAGGTAGAACAGGGTAATTTAACAATATTTGTTAGCCAAGGAATAAGAGTTCAATCCTTGGCAGCATAGTTAACTGTTCTCCACCTTTTACCTTTTTTCATGTAGACAATAGTGGTGACTTATTTATCAGAGTTTCCACATATTTTCTTTTCTTTAATGGAAGAGAAATTCTGGCCTCACAAACATGATCCAGAATCTTGTTAGAAGCGACTTCCTACTTAGGCCATCTCCAACTTGGCTTTCTCCATCCTCCACCACAATATTTCTGTTGATTTTGATGGCCTCACCTTACATCCTTTGTCTTCACATCACTATTCCAACCTGAAGCTAAGTTCATATCTGCTGGTTCAGACTTTATTTGATTGATTGCTGGAGATGAAGTACTTACTAAAGTCTCTGGTTTAACACCAATTATCTTTGATTTGAATCCTCATTTCATTAAATGCTGTCTTTAATGGTGGCCATTATTAGTTTTTCACTATCTTCTCAAAGATTAGCACTCTTCAGGGCTCTGTAAGCCAATACAGCATCAGGTAACTTAATTTCATGTTCACTGAGTTGCTGAAACATACAATAAAATTCTATATTAAAATCAGCAATGGTCATATTCTGTGGTCTAGTATATTTTGCAAAATTTCCATATACCATGTGAGCCACTTGATTAGTATTCACCTTAGTAGAGAATTCTGCTTTTCATAGAATAATTTCATTCCTTTGTATTTAATTTATCAGGGTTCATTTTTTGCATCACTTCTCTGGCTTTACCACTTAAACTAACAAACACAGTTGGGGCTTTTTACTTGGCATCAACATTTGTCACCATTTCCCAGAATTTCATTTCTTTTTTCCAAGCAGCATTTTTTTCTGGGACATGCTCTGGTGGGGCTAAGAATTTATTATTGGTAGCAATTTTTTTTTTTTTTCACTGAACTACACTCTGCTACTGTTGTCGGAAACCTACCACCCCTCTTGAAGATGAATTTGTCTGCGAACAAAGACTTTAAATAGTGGCATGTCAGTTGACATGGGGAAGACAGACGGAGAAGTTCTTAGCTGAGCTAGTTATTGACTACTCCGGCAATTTCTGTACCTTTTTTACCAACCTATTAAAACCCTTTTTATTGTTACGTGTTATTTGGCGTTTGTCTCTACTAACCCCAAATCAACATCATAACAGCTACCAAAAGTGTTCAACCTGTGAAATTGTCCAGCATAGATTCCTGATGTAAAGGAATCTGCTTTCCTCTAAACAAATTGCTAGAAGTTTTTAATTAGTAGGTGGGACAGGGTAATTCCATAATATTTGTTAGCCAAGGATGAAGAGTTCAATCCTTGGGAGCATAGTTAATAATGCCCAAGGGAGAAAATAATATACCTACCATTTCATATCAAATTCAGTTTGATGGCAAAATTTATAAAAGTCTTAGAAAAGGAAGGTGAATACTTTGATACATATACAGGATATTCCCCATCCTAAGCATTGAAAAAATTGAAAAGTGAACCTCAAATAAAGAAGCTTATCAGCAATGAGAACTTTGTTAATGTTATGAATCCTCCAGAGTTAGATGCATCAATTGTGTTTGGTTTAGTGTTTTAAAAACTTTCTTAGTAAGTCAAGGTTGAAAACTGACAAGCTGGTGAACAATATGCTAACAAAGTTTAGACAATTTGGTGCTAAAATTTTCATCTAGCTACATTTTGTGCATAGCCATTTAGACGGGTTTCCAGATAATTTGGGTGATGATATTGATGAACGGCATCACATTGGCTTACAGCATATCATATTGAAACACTAGTTCTCATTCAATCACCAAAGTTAAGTAATATTGAGCCTGGTCAGTACCTAGATGGGTGACTGCTCTTGAATACCAGTCGCTGTAAACTTAGATGTTCAGGTGGTTTATCTATTACACCACCTGCACATTTTAAGCTTGGAATGTGAAATTGCAGAGCCAATTTTGAATTCCAG